CCTTTCCTGGATATTTATTGTCTTTTGTATTCCCCCATGCGCCCCTGATAAAGGGGACGCCGCTGCCATGTTTGCGCGGTCCCAGCAAGGCAATGCCAATGCTGCTCGAGATCAGGATCGACGGGCGCCAAGCCGAGTGAAAGCGCAAGAAGCATCTGCGTCTGACGGCCCCTCACTGACGCGGCCGTCTTTTCACCAGCTACATTCAGCATTCCCTCTTCAACGGGGCCATCGGGGTGTGCAGTATCGCGGCGCGCCGAAGATATGGTTCAGAGTTTCGTCAACGGGCAGTCCGTCGGCACAGTCCAGATTGGGCTTTCGCGCTGCGCGTGGCGAGTCCAACAAGCGTTGCAGCGATGATCTGCGGTCTTGTCCCACACGTCCGGCGCGCTTGCGCAAGACCGCACTGGGCTGGCTCTTTCTGCGGCGCTAACTATGTGACAGGTAGCGAGCTGATGAGAGATAGGAAAGAGGGATCTGTTTTCGAAAGAACTCGGTGGGATGTGGCTATGGGCAGCGTTCAGTGCGTGCTGGTCTCGACCTGCCATGAGATCCTCAAAATTGATGCAACGACATTGGAGATATTACAGTTCCTGTATGAATAAGGTACGCTGGTTTTGGCGTCGGCAAGATCAGCAGCCCCGGCGGTTTGGTAGCATGGCCAAGTGGTCCGAGCGCCGTCTTGGCAGTCGCGACTAGTGCGTTTCAGCAAAGCACTTGTTTCGGCCTTCTCGCATCATCGTCATCACACTTTCGCATGCTCCCCCTCTCAGTGTTCCGTCTAATATCGCCCCTCTTAATCCCTTCAGGCCCCACAATCTACCGTGACCCCCAAACACCTATGGCCTAATCTCCTCTTCAAGTTGACTTTTCAGGCCCGGGAGTAAAGGACTTCTACGTTTACACTTGTCCTGTCCTGTGGGATGATAATTAGTCACGCTTTGAAGTAGCCGTAATCAGCAAAGAGATTTGAATTGTCTGTGTTCGATTTGACTCGAAAAATGCCAACAAGCCACAACAAGCCATACACAAAAAGGGAAATTAACCTTTTCAAGGCTATTATTGTTTAGTTCGATTTTACTGAAGTCAAGATTTAAGGCGATAATCAATTTAGCAACGCCGATCGAGGCCTTATAGGTTTTACTATCCTTTTTGGTCGGCTTAGCCGAAGTCAGGACAACTTTCTTATTGGAGCGAATTGGTGACTGGGGTGATGGATTAAGGAAGGTGATGATTGCTGCCTTGGGAGAGCTACGCTCTTCCTTCCTTTTATAATTCAACTACCTATTTCTACTGATCAGAATTTACTTTTCATAGATCTTCTACTGGCACACAGCCTAAATTACAAACTAAAACCTCAAGATAATTCACACGAGACGCCCTGGAAGTTGCCACTCCGGACCTCTCTCAACATGAAATTCTCGTTTTCCAGTCCGCTCACCACCGGTCACGGTCTGTGCATTCTTGGCCATCCGAAACGCCAATGCTCTCGGCATGTGTGGATATTATTGTTTCGCTACTTATCAATCGTCACCACCCGCAGCTAGGAACCAGCATAAACACGACCTGCACGATGAAAAGCGCCACCCCAACCATGTCGGTGTCGGACTGTAGATTGTTGCTCGAGAAAATCAGCTCAACCCACATGATGAGTGGCCATGCAAGGAACAGTATAACGGCGAGTCCGACGGGAATGGCGGCGTACTTGAGCCACCAATCAACCTCCTCGTGCTTGGTCAGACGCGGCGCGAAGATGCCGATGGCGATGGCCGCGACGACGCCGATGGAGAGCATAATGGTATCCGCAATCTGCCACACCAGCATGAACTTGTGCCAGTTCTCATTGAAGGTCCGCCACCCGAAGAGGAAGAACCGGTAGACCTCGAACCCGTCCGGCTGGTCGATGATCCAGCTCCGCCACCCGCACACGTTGTTCAGGATCATGAGGCCCGCCGTGCCGAAGCCGAGGAAGACGCCCATGACCTGGTTGCCCGACGTCGCGCCGCCGAGGAAGGTGATGTTGAAGAGGATGTTGGCATGCGGCAGGATCAAACACAGCGCATGCAGCTCCTTGTTCGTGATGGCGCGGTACCACGAGATTTGCGTGTAGAAGCTGTAGGCGAGGAAGCCGATGTTGCTCGGGCAGTTGTTCTTGAGCCCCGATGCGAGTTGGGCCGGCGCCAGGAGGAAGCTGAAGTAGAGAAGCACTCGGTTCACTACGCTGAATCCAGAGGCGATCTGGACCGGATCTGCCATTGTCAAAGTACGGGGTTCAGAGGTACGCGTTCGGTTTGGACAAGAATAACAAGAATTTTCTTCTGAGCAATCTTGAGGAAGAAAGACTATTCAGCTTTGTACCTAATGATGTTCTTTGGTTTCAAGGTCCTCGGATTATCTTCGCAGCAGAGCCGCAAGTTGAACCAACCGAATTGCTTGCCAGCCTTGTGCAAACTGTTGGCTCTCGGTACTCCCGCTCTGGCCCTGGACTTGATGCCCAAGCTGCATTGTGTGGACCGGCAATTATGTGACAGGCCAGCGAGTTGAGTTTGTACACAGAATGCCTGATCATTTGTTGTTGTTTCCCCGGAAGCAGATCCCCCGTGGTCCGTTTCGACACGAGGCATGCGATCGAGGGAATGGCGGCGTTGACCCGGAGCCATACTGAGCGATACGGGCGGCCCAATGACACGGGGACCCGCCCGCTGAACCACATTGGTATTTCAAAGGTGATCATCGCCACCCGAATATGAACTCCTACCTTGCGTCTTATATCGTAACAACAAGGTATCCTTACGCACTCACTTTTCCTCAGCACCATAATATACAGATGTGCCCACCACGTATTGAGGTGCTGATTAATCATGCAATTACGTTACAGCAGTTAGAAAAGAGATGGTGTTATTTCTAGATCCAATCCAGGGAAATTCAGACGGAAGTTGTGGGGGCTCAAGGTTGCCTGCACTCAGCCTGCGGCTGTCAGCCCCTCTGGCGGGGCTAAAATTGCAGTGCTTCTTCGCCCCTTGGGAGGGTTTACTTGACCATTCGGGGGTGTAACACACAGCACCTTATCTACTCAGAAAAATCCCAGGAGCTGTATATGTTGGGGAGCACGGAAAGAGTGATGGATTCGATGGTAGATGGTTCTGGCCCGAGAAAATCTCTAGCCCCTTTAGTGGGGAGGCCACACCAGAACCACGCTAAGCTATCTACCAATCAGAAGGAGGCTACAACCTTCTGGGAGGCTCACCCCTTCCAACAGTATAGCGGATAAGATGGCCGCCTCGAAATGAAATGAGTCCGAGTGGTAATTGAGCTCGGACAATATCATTGCTGAGTCTGACAACGTTCGCGACCCCTCTCAGTTTGGCATTTGCTTGTTTGAGCCGTGCCTAAGGTGCATCACCTGTCTCACAGGTAACGGTCTCATTTCCGTGTGCAATGCTCCAGACCATGGACGGCGAACTCTGCCATAGAACCATTCTTGAGAACAAGCTAGGCGGTAGCCCTTCAGTCTACCTCCCTGCGTCTCTTCCTTTTGAGCAGGCGACTACTTGTGATGGTTTCTTTGACAAGTTCCAAGTTGCTAGGTACCATGTCGAGCATATATCCCTAGTGCCACTTTATTGCGGGGAGTGTCGGATTCTCCAACACTACGACAACTGCATAACACCGAGCTTATATGGGAGAGTGGAGGTGTCCGTGTGATCTCCAACGGGGATAATTAACAGCCAACGGCAGATGATAACAAAACAATTATTGCAGGGATGATGCAACCCATTTGCCATTCTAACCGGGCTCTGGCTCAAGTATAATAACACGACTTCACTCATCTCCCTCCCCCCCCCCCCCCCCCCCCCTAAGAACAATGCACATCACCCCCCCGTCGTCACCCCCCCGTCGTCACCCCCGTCCTCAATTTCACCACCACGCAAACCATGGCCACACCAACCAACTCCTACACGCTCCCCTCGCATCTCGAGGGCGACGGCACCCGCCTGGACCTCCAACACGAAGTCTTCCGCCTCCTCCTCAACAACAACCTGCTAAGCACCCCGACACCCGCCTCCTTCTCAGGCCAGGTCCTCGACCTCGGCACAGGCACAGGCCTCTGGGCAGCCGAGTTCGCCGCCGAGCACCCACACGCCACGGTACTAGGCATCGACCTATTCCCGCCCTCCACAACACCGGTGCCTGCCAACTGCGCCTTCCGCGCGCTCGATGCCGAGAAGGACGCGGACTGGGACCTGCCCGACGCCGCCTTCGACCTCATCCACACGCGCATGTTCCTCTTCCTGCTCCGCGACCCGCGCGCCATGCTGCGGCGCTGCCTCGCCGCCCTCCGGCCCGGCGGCCGCATCGAGTGCCAGGAGATCCAGCAGCCGTACCGGACCGAGGACGGCCCCGAGGGCGAGGATACCCCCGTGCTGCGCATGGCGCGGCTGCGGGTCGAGGCCGCGAGGCGGTGCGGGCTGGATCGGGCGGTGACCGGCCGGCTGGCGGGGCTTGTGGAGGAGGTGGGGTTTGGGGAGGTGCAGGTGGAAGAGAAGCGGATCCCCGTGGGGCCATGGATGGAGGGCGAGCGGATGAAGGAGGCGGGCGAGAAGTACCGGCAATGTATGCGGTTGGGGATGGTGGCGTTTACCAAGACGGTGTTTATGAAGGGGCTGGGCTGGACCGAGGAGCAGGTCCTGGAGGCGTGCGACGAGGCTGTGAGGGATCTGGGGAACGGGAGGGTGTATGCCCCGATCAAGATTGTCGTTGCCACCAAGCCAGCAAGCAGCTCTTTGCCAGCTGCCAGTGCTGACAGCCCACTGGTCTGACATGGTCTAGCCGGGGCCACTCCAATTCGCCTAAGCCCAATCAATGCATTTATTATGGTTGCTTCGCTCTTGACTCCATCAAAGCCCTTTTTCGGGCCCCACCACTTCCTCAACTTCCTCGGCACACGAATCCATCGTCGAAGCCACCCACACTCACATCAGCTCGCCAGCTAGCAGCAAGCCCGTATAGCTCAGTGGTAGAGCGCATCACTCGTAGGAATTCACTTCCATGGATATGATGAGGTCGGTGTCCACGGTTCAATCCCGTGTGGGGGGTGGGGGGGGTAGGGGGGGGGGGGGCATTCGCATCTCTTTTTTGCCTCGAACAGCATCCAAGATTATTCTCCTCACGAGCTAAACAAGGGGGGACAGGGGTTTCTTCCACGTGGGGACGTGTGGATTTGGCTAGAAGGAATCGAATTACCTTACATAATCATCCTCTTCGTCGGATGTCACTATTACGGGTGTGGTCTAGGAGGACCTGTTACGCATCCTACAATGGCTCAGCAACAAAGATCGGGTTCGCGTCGGGATAGTTAGCATTGGGGTCTCTGCTCCAATCTTGATCCTCAAACCTGGTACCCAGGGGCTTGTGCTTTGACTTCTCCCAGATGACGACGCCCTCGGTAGAAATGGGACCCTCGCCAACGTCGTATCGGATGACGCGCTGCACTCGCGACCTGGGATCGGTAACCATGCCGGCCTCGACGGCACTCCAGTACGAGTCAGTGCTGAAGATGGGAGCGCCAGCCTTCATCAAGATGTGAATGTCGCTACTACGTTCCATGGCACGCACAGTCTGGCCCCATGAGAGGCATCGTCCCCATATGTGCTGCGGACAAAGCTTACCATTCTCGTCGCGGAAGATATTCATCATGACAGAATCGGGGTCCCTGTACGAGTAAGTGCTTTCCCAGTCTCTGAAGTCGAGATTTTTCTCCTTGAGCATTCTGGCCTGGAATTCCTTCAGCTTATTGGCAACCTTCCTGCGGCAGACTAGCAAGTAGCCCCCGTCCAAGGGGGCGTCGCTGGCTTGTGGCTCCATTCCGATAAATCGGTTCCAGAGCTCAAGATTGACACCGGAGTCCATTCCGCGAGGGGGAAATCCCTCATATTTTGGCTGTGAAATCCGGCGTGGCTGCAAATGCAGTTCCCTGAACCAACTGGGCTGGTGGATGTCAAAAGTCGCTGAAGTTGGCGAGGTAGGTGGTCGAGCGGCTTTGGCAGATGCCATGACTCTGCGCAGCAGAAGAAGACGATAAGAAGACGATAAAATCCGGAGATATGAGTTTTTATCAAGTTAGTATAGTGCGATGATAATCGAAAGAGATAGGCTGGCACCTCCTTGATACGACAGTTAGCAGGGTCATCGATGACGGCTCGTCTTGATACGTGACATTCTCCCTATGTTTGCCTCTGGGCGACGACCCGTTAATAGTTTATAACTTAAAAAAAAAACAATAGCCTTGTTGTTTTTAATATTTTTTTAAACAGCCAGCAAATAATGTCTTTGTACTTGCTTTGGCCCAGTATATATGTTGGACACTCTTCTGTGCGCCAAGTCGGACAAAGACGGGTGCCAGAATGAGCAATTTGCAGCTGCGAATAGCCAATTTGAACGCATGCTCATCATCCATCTTGGGATCATGCAATGATGAGCTTCATCGGGAATTATGGTGCATCAGTATGCAAGGAAAAGGTAGACAGTGCAAATGGCGTGGTCTTCGTTGTTGACCTCTAGGGCAGGGTAACAAAAAAGGTACGAGCCAAATTCACGGTCCCGAAGTGCACTTGGGGTTTAAAGACCAAAACACCATTGGGGATATATTAAGACTATCCAGGGCGTAGTTAAAAGAAAAATGAAACAAAATATCCCAGAGCAACTACTTACTACTCCAAGATGTAGCCGACGATGACTAGAAAACCATTAGGAAAAAGTGAAGAAAAAAAAAATAGCAAAAGCTCACCCGCCAGCCCCCTAGACTAGGTACCCTTTATAGTAGAGAGGGTGCTGGTCTAGGGGAGGTGGGGGCTACCAAAATCCTAAAGGATTTTCCTCGAACGTGAATCGAACATCGGTCCTGGCGAGTCAAGGTTACGTTCTCGATTAGGAACGGTACTGGTGAGTCAAGTTTCGTCGAGCCACCCTCCTTGCCGCTAGGCCATTGTGCCTCGTTGCTGTATTGGTATTAGCAGCCCCTGTGGGATTGACATATGTACCACACCACACCCGGCCTTGGAGGCTATCGGCTTATCACACTCTAAACCAGTAATCCATGTGACACGTGTAAGGACTCGGACGTTTCTGTTACCCGATCCTGCTGCTGAGCCGAAGATCTACAGGGGTACCTAGGTAGACAGATTTCCCGTCCACGTTATACCTCTTTTTCTCTGCTACTGCTGATAATTCCAAACCCAGGTGCGGTCACAGCAGAAACTATTGGGCTTTGTTGCTAGGCACGTCAGGGCAGACATCACAAGTCCCAGCCTCGGGGCTTGGAGACAGGATCGCAACTAGTGATAATCACAATGGGCTCGTTGCTAATATCGAAGCACGTGGTAAATTGTCATTGTGTCATAAGGGACACTTTCTCGGCCGGGGCACGGCCTTGACGTATTTGGAAAGTAGCACGTTTCTAGGTCTCAACACAAATCATTCCATTCTGTAGACGACCCGCCATTGCTTAATTCCATGGCAACAGCAGATACCTTGTCCTGTCATGCTTTTGCTTATGGTGAAAAATTGGTCGCCTTTGCTATCTCAAAGGTAAGAAAACCGGAAAAGCGCAATACAGCCGGGAGTTCTGCTCGTAGCTAACACGGCGAACAATCCATTAAATTATCTTTTGCTGGAAATGGTATTTCCAGTTCCTGCAGTTTAGAGGGTAGATTACCAACGGTGTTTCGGAATTTGCGCCTTCCTTATCCTCAAGAAACTCTGGTGCATAGGTAAGGTAGGGCCGGCGAGATCTCGATTTGATGGCCCTGCCTTAGTTCCTGGCATTGATGACTTTGTAAATCTGCTCGGCCTGTAACCTTATGATTCTAGGGGTGGATACATCTGTCATAGCTTATCTGGTGGCTGGGATAATGTGTGCATATCCGGACCCCACTTGAGCCTTAACTTTGAGATTCTCGATGAAGAACGCGATCAAGCCCCACCAGAATCGGAGGATTACCTGAGTAGGGGTTCGCAACCTTGGCTTTAAGGGGCTGACTGGGCAGGATATTACACTGCTTCAACTCAGCTTCAATGCTTCAGAGCAAGACTTGACTCACTCTTTGACAATTTCAACTACTAAATCTCGTGAGAATCGGATGCCGGGCAAAGGGACGGTTGGCACCATAAAATGAACATGTGACCTCGCCAGATAAGCTCTCGAGGCTCAAGCTCATTGGGCCATGGCATTGTTCACGCCCGGCCTACCAGTCTTGGAGCCTGCAAGGCCAGCCCGCTACCTTTTGGATCCATATGTAGCTCTGGATCTAGATCTGGATCTGGATCTGGATCTGGATCTAGGGTCCTTCCTCTCGATAGCGCAATTCAGCCCTTTTAACACCACCTGCGTGTTTTACCTGTAACACTCAACAGAAGCTAGCTGTCGTCCATCCATTATGCTAGACAACCGCCTCCCAATGCAAATGTTTCCAGGATTGCTGAATAAGGTCCATCCATCGCACTGATCAGAGCACCTTTTGGGTTTAACTCGCTACACATAAACTTTCCCGAGATCCAAGCTTACTTTAGATAGGAAAATCCCCCCAGAATCCCATTTTGTGACTCAAGCAGACGTGACAATATTAGGCCTTGGGTGTAAGTCCCGGTTCATCAGCGTGCTATATTCAACTCGTCTTGGGCCCATCCTCCGGGGAAAAATTTCTTTCTTCATCATCTCTGTTGTACACATTCGCGTTAGCTAGCAAGCACCTTGATCAACCAAAAACGCTGGGACTGCCACAAATTGAGACCATCACAAGTCAAGAAACTACCGCATCACTACACATCACACACACACACCACACACTCACATACACACACATACACGCGCGCACACACACACACATACACATACATACACACATACACACATACACACATACACACACACACACACACACACACACACACACACACACACACGCTCGCTCGCCCTCAAGAAAGCCGTCAAATCACAAGATGGCAGCTCTCTTCAACACCACCACCTTTGACAATGGCAGCCCCCAGACTCTGGGCCAGGCTGCCTTTTTAAACGTCGGCGGCTCCAACGGCTGCTGGAGCGAGGCCGGCAATGACAACAGCAGCCACCTCTACGAGGTCGAGGCTTGCCATACTTGGGGCGGCGAGCCTATGGAACTGGACTCCGACCTCTCGGTCCCCCCTCCTATGGAGGAGGCCATGGATTTGGACACAGATCTCTCGCTCCCCGCCCATATGGAGGAGATCGAGTGGGGCGAGCCGCAGGCCCAGCTCGCCGTCCCGACCTATCTCGGCCCTTACAAGGCCAACCCCTTCATCACGCGGGATCAGGACTCAGGCCTCATCGAAGTCCCCAGAGTCCCGCCACACCGGAGTGGCCTGCGACCGGCCAAAAGTTGTCTCAAGAGGGGCAAGAAGATTGTCAAAAAGCCTCGCGGTCCGTCGCAGGTCCAAACACACTTCAGAACGCCAAATGAAGAGCTGAAACTCCGGTGCATCATCACCGGGCACGTCTACACGCCGCACGCACGCGATCGTAGGGAGTTCGTTCGCGCGCAAAATGAAGCGGCTAGGGAGGAGAAGCGTTCAGGGGAATTCTCACCACAGCCCCAGCCTGAATGGTCATCAGACTGTGACGTGCCCATGTCAGGAATCTCCGAGGAACTGGACTGGGAAGCTGCCCGGTACAGAGCCGAGGAGGAAGAGCTGGATGACTTGCAGGAAATCGCGTTGATAAATAAGGCGCTCAACAAGATGGACTGCCCGATTCCAGACAAGTACCACCTATCACAACATCCTGCCCTGGGGCCCAATCGGAAAACTCCTCGGGGGACTCACAACAATGCCGGCAAGAGAGTTCCTTTGCGGTATCAAACCAGCAAGCCCCCCCGGGGGTCTCATGTCAACACCGGTGTCAAGAGAACTCCTTTGAAGTCTCAAGGCACCAAGGCTCCCAGGGGGCCTCGCCCCCCCAAGGAGTCCCGAAACAAGCGTCAGGGCCGCGGTACTTATTCCCGACAGCCTCGAAATAGCCCTTCGAGGAGAGCGTTGTCTGTGTCGACTCATTGATTGTGGAAGTC